ATATTATGCTGGAGTTCTAGTGTACTTATGCTGGAACTCCATCATAATATGATGGAGTTCCAGCATACTTATCTTGGAACTCTAGTATAATATGCTGGAGTTCAAGTATACTTATGCTGGAACTCCAGCATAATATGCTGGCGTATTTTCTGGGTTTTGAACAGTGTTTTCGCTCAGATTTATCTTTACATGAAAAGTGGCTAAATATCGATTACTTTTGAAGCTGTGCTATTTTTGAACGACCAGTTGTAAATCTTGGTATTTTTGAATTTCACCCCATTATTTTACTTTTTCTTTTTTCCGGCCCATTGGCTCCTCGAGATTTCAGCTTATAAACAGTACAGCTATTGCTGTTTCTGGTAATAGTTTAGGAAAGTTGGGCGCTGAAGTGACCAATCCCAATACTATATTAAGAACTCACGTGTATATTGTCTCCACGTTTTTGGATCGTTTAAAGTTCCACTTGATTTAGGATAGGATTGTCAACCACCATTGCCACCCTATTAGGAGGCAAAACAAAGTGGGGATTTTTACGTCCTATAACAAAGGTTAACACCTTATTTATTTTAAATAAATATCATTTAAAAAAAATTATATTTTATAGATACCTTTTAAGGTTTATAACAAAATATTTAATTTTGGTTACCTCCTAGCCCTAAGCCACTAAATACGCTATTCAGTTACACTATTTTCTTTCTCTCTCTACTTTGATACATCCCATTCTCTTCCCCATTCCCTAAAAACACGATGTTCCATCTCAAAATTTCTCTCATCCACACTATTTTCTTTTCACTCCAATCAATTCTTGCACCGAATTGAATATCACTAAACTCATGGCTTAATTCCCTATACTTCTGATTGCTCAATGCTTTCAAAGGTGAATTATAAATAACTCTCTGCTTATCCCTAAAGGTGAAGTATAAAGAACTTTCTTTATGTTCTAAGCACGCGACGGTATCTTCCTGAAATGGGTCGAGCTTGAAGGGGTAGGTTTTTGCCATTTCGCCGTTATAGGAAGGGTTTGAGAGGGTTCCGTGGATTGTTTCGTCGTTGTTTGAATTGTATTGCTACGGCGGATTCGCCGAAAATTAGGGTTTGTTCTTGAACAAAGACGCGAAGTTTACGGCTGAGCAACTTGATTTTCTGTTAATATATTTCAATGCATTTTCATGTATTTCATTGTATTCATTGTCTTTTTTTATTGTAATTCAATGTATCTCGTTGTATTCCATGTATTTCATTGTATTCACTGTCTTTTTTTTCATTGTATTTCAATGTATCCTGCTGTATTCTATGTATTTTATTATATTTACTGTCTCGCCATATGCCATGAATGTATTCATATGTTTTTTTTAATTATATGTATTCAGATGTATTATATAATTTCTGCGAAGATTGCTATGTTTTTGGTGTATTTTTCGGTTGAGTATCTTTTTTATAACTGAAAATACAAAATTTGTGTGTTATAATTGAGTTTTTGAGTTATATTAGGAGTCTATTATGTTAATTGATTCACTTTCCGTTTTAAAAACAGTGTAATCCCCTATTTCACGCCGTGAATACAGTCTAATACAGTTGAATACAATAATCTGTCCAGCTGTAATCCCATGTTTCACTCCATGAATACAGTCGAATACACTCAAATACAACAATTGATTAGCTGGACTTCCCTGATTCACGCCTATTTTTGCTACTGTATTCATGAATACAATAGCTTAAATACATCAAATACATCTTATAACCACACAAAAGGTATCTATAATCCGTAATATAGCAAATGGTATCTATAGGTGGCTAATTACTACCAAAAGATAGTGCTTTATGAAAATTTTTCAACAGTATAATTTAGAACGAACCCATCGGAAAACATCTTTGCTGAATTTTCTTGTATCCCCCGTTTCCCTGTCGAGAAAACAACCATCTAATACATGTAGATGTTGTCAGATAAAACCGGATTCAACATGTCCGAGCGGACTTGGATGCACAGCACAAGTTTTCATAACTCTGCTCCTCGAGGTTCAAGGAGATAGAAAAGAAATCACCTAACAATATGTTTTTTGCGTATGCTAGGATGTAAACCTTAGTCTCACATAGTATTCATTCCGTTTCATTGACCCTAGGCCAAAGCCTTTGGTGCTCAAGGGATTCAAGATTTTAAACAAGCAGTCATAAAGTATCACTATATTCATCACTCTTTACTCACAAAGCATGCAAATTTCATTTGAAGGCAACAGTCTAAACAAAAAAACAAGCTATTTTGAATCCTCGAAATACAATCAGCCATTTTCATGGGGGGGGGGGGGGTAGGGGGGGGGTAACAGTCCCGTGAGTAGGAGGCAA